GCCATTTTTAGAAAGGATGATATGCATGAAATATAATGAGTCAAATGGATTGGACGCAAATCAGGTATCTTCACACATTTATGAGGTTGGTGACAATTTAGAACATCACTTTGTTGACTTGGATGAAAGGACATATACATGTAGGAAACTTGATTTGGACAAGTTCACATGCGTGCATGCAATTGCTATCGTAGGATTCAAAGGAGATGATAGCTATAACTTATGCAGCCTTTTTTTATACTAACTTTTGTTGGAAGCAAGCATATTCTACATTCGTATACCCTTTGCCAAATGAGGTTGAATGGCGAATTCCTAAACATGTGATGGCTAGAGAGGCACTTCCACCATTGCCATGAAGACAAGGTCGACAACTGCCAAAAAAGAGGAAAAGATCAATCGGAGAGACACGTGCGCCTCTTAAGTGCAGTAGGGGCAATAAAACTGGTCATGCTCGATTCACTTGCATGAGCCAAGTAGCTGTAGTGAAACTTAAGGTTGTAATATTGTCGTAACTTGTATCTTTATAATTTTGTAGTCATTGTGTTATTAGCGCTTTCATACTAGTAGAACGAAATTACAGTTATTTTACGCTCATGTATTTTTTCCACATTAAAGACAAACGATGTTTATATCGTTACAGTTGGTGTAGATGTCGTTCATGTACGAAAATCCCACTAATTCACATAGTGATATTGAAATCGTTCCTGAGATATAAAATGATATTAATGTCGTTCTAGTACAACGAAAAGACCACTTTATTGACTTGCATAACAACATTGAAATTGTTCTTGAGATAGAGAATGATATTAACATTGTTCTAGTATGAAATTGCATTGATTCACATAATGACATTAAAATCCTTATTGAGACACAAATCGATATTGAAGTCATTCCAATTCAAAAGACACTACTTTACTAATTTCATAACAACATTGAAGTAATTATATATCAATAAAATGATATGAAAATCGTTATGCCAAAAAACTTGCATAGATCACAATTGTCAAACCCACGATGCTGATGTCATTTCAATATCAAATACACATTGCTTCACTGATTTTTATAACAACACTGAAGTCATTTATTTCAAGAGCCTTGCTACTTGTACATAATTTGGTGTACAACAAGGTATCCACCCCTCACATGGGGGTGGAGCCCACTTGGAGAAAATATTTTTTATTCAAGTGGGTCCCACCCTCATGTGAGAGGGTGGATACCTTGATACACACCAAATTATGTACAAGTAGATAAACTCTTATTTCAATACATAATGACATTGAAATCATTTTTACAACAAGGCGTACGCCCACCTTGCGCTAAGGCACATGCCAACTCAAATTGGTTACTCTCAATACCTCTCAGTAGCTGAATAGGTGCACGCCATTTCTACAGGCTTAGGCACGTGCTTGACTGACTTTTATTTTCTCTTCAATTTAATATTCCAAGTAATTGCAGTCCAGGTCATTTCACTTTGATCATACACAATTTAGTCCTTAAATTTTAACTTTCCTTTCAATTAGGACCTCTATAAATTGCACATTAAGTCCTTTCACTTTCTAAGTAGTGCGCTTTAGTCCCCAAAGCCACTAAATAACATAAAGACATGTATGTCGTTCCAGTACAATTTTGACAACGTTGAAATCATTATATCTCAAATCATAACTACAATAACATAGATATCGTTTCCTTTCATGCGTAACGACAATTATATCATTATGTATGAAATCTACGAAATAATATAATGACACGGATGTCATTCAAGTACAATTTTGATGAAATTTCAGTCGTTACAATTCAAATTATAACTACAACAATATAGTTATCATTTCCTTTCATGCGTTCGACAATGATATCGTTATGTATGAAATCCATGAAATAGTATAACGACATTTATATCGTTTCTTTACAATTTTGACGAGTTTGAAATAGTTTCAGTTAAAATCATAACTACAACAACATAGATACCATTTCTTTTCATATAAAACGACACTTATATCGTTATGTAACAACATTGAAATCGTTCCTGAGATATTTAATTGGAATGATTTCAAAACAAATTGGTAAAAGTAAGTATCCAAGATGCAATAATCTTGCTGGAATAAACTTGGAAATTTTAAAGCCCATTCTCGTACTTGGTATAGGGTCTCATTCACAATTTGCGCAAAGAAGCCAATTAATACAAACTGAATTAATTTGCAACATTATTGTAAAATCATTAAAGCTGGATTACTTACACTGCCAGTAAGTTAGCCATCCTCATTCAAAAGGTTTGTTAAATTTTTTTCTTGAACATCATAAAATTGCAATGGTATAACTTGATTGCGCATCAACACAATCAACACAAAGTTATAGTTATGTAATAATATCATTACTTGCACATGCTTTTGCAACTATATGTATTAATTTACCCATTAGATGCAGTTTCCATCCATTTATCAAGAGCTTCAACTTTCATGGGATCCACTTCTCAGTAAAGATCGTATACATCGATATCCAACAACTTTCTCCTCTTTGTCAGGTTCATGAAGGGAGAACACAATAAGCTTGGCTTTCTCTTTGGACGATACCCCTATCTTTTAGGTGAATCACATTCTACCTCCTCGGTCTGTATACCGTCGCCTGCATGTTGCAAGTACCAACAATTATAAATCTAAAATTAGTATAATTTGGAGGTCATGACATGAAGCTGAACATTATTTTTTTTACACACCGAGACTGGATTCATTCACCTCTACCTCAGGTTTTCGGCGTTACAAAATTAGCGGGCTTCGCTTTCTCCATATATTCATGCTCCTCATCTACAAATGTTTCTTTTGCGAGCCCCCTCTTCTACAATTCTTTCCTTTTCATGCTCCTCCATCTCATCCTCATATCCAACCCCAGTTCTATTCCATCCTACATTATCTTCCCTCACCTTCTCTTCTAACTTTGGATCCTTTTCAAGCTTTTCTACGTTTTATTTCATGTGCAGGCATATCTGTCACATAATCAAATCTAGCCTTCTATTCCAACTTGTCCTTCAGTTCAGCTTTCGATACATACGCTGTGCTACTAGTAGCACCATCAAATACACTAGTCGCTGAATAAATCGACCCACCATAGCCGATTCAACCAACATATCAACATTTTTCTCCACTCGACCAAGTCAAGTAGATATGAATCCTTGTAGCCTTCCCTCGAGTTTTTCCATTTTCGTTCTCACTAGCTCAGCTATGTTCAGCTCATAAGATATCGGTAGTGGTTGAGATGTACTAAGTGTTGGTGGATGCATGATATGTCTTGGCATTATGCTTAGCCTCATCTCCTTCTAATTGGTTTGAAGCATTCTCATCTTCTTCTACAATTGGGGTCAACTCTTTCCAATAAATTTCCTCAAGTTCAGATTCTATGAGAATCAAAGTAAAATTAACCTCCAACTGCAAATATTAAATTGTGAAAATAATTAGTCATTCGCAAAACAAAATTCTTCAATTTGTCCCCATTATACTTAAATAGAAAAAGATAATTTACCTATTTCGATTCCAACATATTATCAATTGTGGTAGATGCCAACCTCTTCGACCTTTCCTAAGCAACCATTCTTGGAATTACATTCAGATATTTCGTAGCAAACTTCATTCCCAAAGTTGGAATCGCTTTGAATGCCCAAATCTATTGTAAAACAAATATAATTATCTCACAACACAAATTTATATATAAAAAATAATACTATACCTCTTCGACATTTCCCAAGTGACCATTCTTGGAATTGCATCTGGATATTTCGTAGCAAACTTCATTCCCAAAGTTGGAATCGCTTCGAATGCCCGAATCTATTGTAAAACAAACATTATTATCTCACAATACAAATTTATATATAAAAAATAATACAAAGTCAAGTGTATTATTTGTTCATATCATTAAAGCGAGGAGAAAGTCGTGCAATGAATACTGACAACGCGACTCTCCTTCGACATCCGAATTTTTCAATTTACCACCCATTTCACGTTTGAATACAATCATCATGTGTTCAAATGAAAATTTTCCCCATGGACACTTCTCGAATCTATCAAGATCATCTACCAAGTCCAACCACTATAAATCGATGTAGGTGTTTTCCTCTGTGGCCCATAGGATGTACGACAGGATGATGATCAATCCCAACTTATACTTATCTCTCTTTCTTTTACAATCCAAATCTTGCTCGTTTGTCTTCGATCTTAAACCATACTTCTTTTTTGGTAGTCTTCATCTTTCGCAACTGTGAAGTGAACCGAATGTCCCTCAATCTAAGAAGTGATTCGAAGTAGCTATCGCAGAGCTTGTTCATGTAATTTGTATCTAGCTTCCCATAAACATCGTGTACTACTTGTAGTTTCTATCTAGTCGTAATTGTAGCATCAGCTTGAATTTTCTCCATAGCAATGCCACTTACGAAATAATTACAAATATTAGAACAACTGATGACAGTAATGCACATAAACAATGCATAAGTTGAATAAACCAAGTTAAGCATACAGATTTCCAATACGAAAAATGAAATTCTGTATAGATTGCAAACACTGCAGTACTTTACAACAAAAATGTCCTACTAACATTTTGCTAATACAATTATCAGCTTGACAACCAAATGTGAAATCATCATGAAAGATTATGCTTCATTTCAAGCACAAACTCCTAATTTTAATTCTCTAAACTTAGAAGACAGATAACATCAAATTTGGAAAGAGTTAAACATAATGAACCTTGAGTCACTCTTAACTCACACGCATATTTGGGAAAAGAGTTAAAGATAATGGGCCTCAAGTCACTGTCAACTCATATACATACTTGGGCACTATGTCTATTATCTCATCTTCAACATCATCTTTTACTTCTCATGTCATCCTATCAAATAAGCATTACATTGCAGAACGAGTATGATATCAATTTTGAGCCTCATTTTAAGTATATATCACTCTTTGAAAATACAGAAAACTTACATTGATTTTCCTAAGTAGGAGCTTGTAGTTGGTTTAACAATGAAGAAGACAGATTTCGAACTCAACCCTCCATTGAAGACATCGTGCCCTTTAAAACTTTCCACGGTCGTCAACCTCGGTATAAGAATGAGAAGAGATGACTTTAGACTTGAAGGAGAAGAGTTTGGGAATTTGAAGGAGTAACCAATTTAGAAGGAAAAGAGGTTGTTTTTTGAATTTGAAGGAGAACGATTCTAATGTGAATGCATGAAAGAAAACCCGTAAATTCATTCTTCAATTTCATTTTAATAGATAAGGGTCAAGGGGTCTTTGACACTTTTAAATAATTAAAATTCCTTTTATTTTCATAATTTCGGTCAAAGACTCGTTGCACAAAATGTTTTTGAGTGGTGGCCATTTGAATTCATGTTAGAACTAAGTAAAAGTCCAAAAGAAAGTGATTTCATTGTGGTCAGAAGGGGCACTAGAAAAGATTTTGCCCAGAGTACCTAGCTTCCAAAAAGTAGGGTAATAGTACGTCGTTCTACATTGAGGCTTGTTTAGTGATCAACTCTACTAAATTCTGAAGCAACTAACCATATTTTTTATCCTTTGCAGGCATTCAAGGTCACCAGATAACTCAATAAGGTCGAGTAGGCAGACTAGTAATGTTTATGAAAGAGATGTTTGCACATTTTATCTTTATTTTGATAATGGTGCAATGTTATGTGTACAAAATTGGGTTACAAAATTGTTTAACAAAATGAGCGTGGCAAGATCTAGGCCATTAATTTAAAAAATTGTTTTTGAAATTATCGACCTAAATCTTACTACACTCATTTTGTAACCCAATTTTGTATACATAGCATTGCTCAATATTAATCATTTGGTTTTAGATAATTGTTATTTAATTTATTTATCTTTTTGTAATGAAATCGAATCAAGTCAGAATGAAGCCATTCAATGATTCATTTTCATAAGATCACATTTTTGTCTTAATTTTTTAATTTTTATTCTATTTCTATTTCTTTTTTCTTTTTTCATTTTTTAGGAAAAATTGCAGTCACGGTACCAAATATTTCATTTAGTTGCGGACTTTGTTCAAACATTTCATTTGTGTCACCCACGGTACAAAATCCTTAAAAACTCGTACATAGAGTCCAAATTGACAGAAACCGCTACTTTGACCGTTAATTGACCAAAAATCAAAAGTCTGACCAATTGTTGACTAATTTTTAAAAGGCAAATGGATAACTTTACATTTTTCATATAAAAAATTTAAAATAAAAGAATTAAAAAAAAAACCAATCATCTTCTCCACTCACCCCCACCCCCACCCCCACCCCTTAACGATTTGATAATTACAGCAGTGCTCAATTTAATAACGCACCAAATAACAACCATATCCCGAAGTTCCAGAAGCCATCGCAATCTATTTCAGAGTTTCTGTACCTGGGGGTTAATTCACATGGCGAAAGTGTTATTTATTCGAGAAATGTTTACAATGGAAGCAGAACTAGTGATAGTAATGCTTCAAATTTGTGAAAGTTGGACTCGTCGAAGCTACACCCATTGCCATCGTTGAAAATGCACAGTTTCGGCATAATTACAGAAACGTGGAGGCGACTTCTAGTAAAGATGAGGAAGATGAGGAGTTTTACTCTCCCAAAGAATTGTTAAATGGCAACGAAAGCTCTATTGGTACTGAATCAGCTTCTAAGAGGGCTTTTGTAGCTGTAGAGGTGGGAAATTTTAATGGGTCTGCTACAAATTCTTCGTCCACTTACTCTTCATGGGTAACTGGTTCCGAGTTCGCATATCTAATTCAATCCGTTTCGTTGAGCATTTCTTCGACGATTAGTTTAAGCCCGAGAAATTCAATGCTCAAGTCACCAGACTTGATCGAGATTCAGATGGCTACGACGCTGATGCAAACGACAATGGCTTTAAAGCCTGCTCCCAATGGTTTGGTGCTTAGGGAATCTCGGTCGCCTTCGCTGTCGAGTTCATCATCGTCGGAGATAATGACATCGGAGCTTGCTCCCAGTCAGGGATGGATCCAGGATCGAGGTAAGGGGGGGCTAATACGTAAAAAAAAAAAAATTTTACACATGAATTTTTTTTTAAAAAAAAATTTTACAAATTTTTTTTTTTTTCTAACCAAAAATTTTTTTTTTGGGATGGAGGGGAGACCCCTAAATCGGTCCCTGCTCCCAGTGGTGGTGACCGAAAGTTTTGTTCATTTATTTTTGTAAACTGATTTTTGGTAGAGGGTGAGGGGTGTCGAGGTGAGTGGAGAAGATGATTGGTTTTTTTTAGTTCTTTTATTTTAATTTTTTATATGAAAAATGTAAAGTTACTCATTTGCCCTTTAAAAATTAGTCAACAATTGGTCAGACNTGTTTCAACGTTGACTAACGGTTTTACGGACGGAATTCACGGCTTGGGACCGACTCTGCAATTACATACAAAGGTTTGGGACCGACGCTGCAATTATGTACAAATATTTGGGACTTCTACCGCAACAAGTAAAGGTTTGGGACCGACTCTGCAATTATATATAAATGTTTGGGACTTCGCCTGCAAAAATTAAAGGTTTGGATATAATCTGCAACAAAATGAAAGGTTTGGGACCGCGGCCGCAATTTTCCCTATTTCATTCCTCATTCTTTATGCGTCGCTGCCTGCGTTCGGAAACAGATATTTGCATCTGATCTTTAAATAAGGAAAAAAATTCTAGACAGAAATCTCTGATAATCGTTCAATGGCTGAATCAAAATCCGGCCCAGGTAGGTTTTTTCCTCGCTTTATAAAAATTTAGCTGCAACTGCTGTAAATATTAGATTTTTTCTTCATAAGAAAAATCCATTCCTTTTGCGCATTCTATCATTTTATGTTTGTTAGACAACCCCCTTAATTATTACACAGTTATATGAATATCTGATAGAAACGTAAATTTGTTTACGATTTGATGATAATTGAAATTGCGGCAGAAAAAGAAGTGAAAGCGCCCAATGTATTTGAGAGGGCAAAGGAAGAGATTGCGGCGGTTTTTCACCATGAGAAACACTCGAATCACCATCACAAGGAAACTCATGGACTGCGTAATGACCTCGATGAGAATACATCTATGGGTGATGTTAAGGCTCCAAATGCATTTGAAAGAGCAAAGGAGGAAATTGAGGCCATTGTGGAGGCAATTCGTCATAAGAAGGAATCAAAAAGCCACGGTTCATCTTCATATAGTGAAAAGAGGTTAGGAAATCAACGCTTTATTTAAGATGAATTGCGGGGATTGAGTTAATTTTTTGGACAAATTATGATAATTTGCAGAAATTCTGACTCGGTGGATCATTTGGAATCGAAGAAACCGGACTTTTCTTCAGGTACATATTGTGCTCTGACTGTCAATAGCCATTTGAAATTTACACTTGATCATACGGCATGAGGCGTTCATATGCCAAGTCATATATTTGTAAAGAAACTACTCCTCTTGTGCAATCTTATGTTTTAAGGGTTTTCTTAGAAAGTATTGCCTAATGTGGGAACAATAAATGATCACTAGAAACATTAATTATATGATAACAAAATGCATACATAAAATCAAGATATTTAGTTGAAAAATGTTGAGAGGATATGTTATTGCAGCAGGTAAGGGTGGAAAACAAGAATGCCTCTTATGCTTTAGAAGTTTCATTTCTGTTTGGTGGAAAATCTGTTGATAGCTTTTGTACCAATCATCTGATGGTACTTGAGGGTGTTTATGAATGGTAGGACTGAACTAAACAGGGAGAGTTACTGTCGGATTTTCGACTTCAAAATTAGGCTAATTGGTTGGAAATGCTAAACCAGAATTGACAAGAAAAAATATTCTTTAGCTTTTATAATAAATCATGTGTCATTACCCCTGTATTTAACGAAACAAGGTTCCCTTATCTGATTCATGTAGGTATCGACGTTTCTTATTTGTGACAATAAAAAATTTTATGAGTCTACTTTTTCTTGCCTCATAGTTTCTTTATTTATGCTTGGTTCGTGAAGAATTCAAAGTCATTCCATTCTTATGCCATGTTTTGACATCGGCAGAGAAGGATGTGAAGGCACCAAATTTTATTGAACAGAAGAAGGAAGACATAGAGTCACTGATGCACAAAGGGAAGTCGCCACACCATCATCATAAAGAAACTCATGGAAGGAGTGACGATATTGATGAGAGTACCCCAATCAGCAAAGTTAAAGGCCCAAATGTGCTTGAACGAGCAAAGGAAGAAATTGAGGCTCTTATTGGGACAATTCACCCAAAGAAGGATTCTGATAATGCTGTGTCCTCACCAAAGAAGGAAGGTGGATTGCCGGTGTCTTTTAGAAGAGGATTGGAAAAGTTTTGCTCTCCTCGCAGTCATAATAGGGATAGGGATTGATTAGTTAATTGTTATGAAGATGTTACTTTTTGAATTTTACGTCATGAAAACCACATTATATGAAATTTAACAGAGAATAAAAAATTGCTTTCAAATTACAATTTCTTGGAATGAGAACGAGTCTTTCTATCCCAAAGCCTGAAGGCCCCCAGGTGACGGGACAAAATAAAAGTGACGCTGGGTCGATAAAAATGATTGGATCTTCCTCTTTCCCATTCAGAGTTTGTTTTATTGATAAAAATGATAGTTGACTCAATCTTCTTCTTCCTTCTTTTTTTTTTCTCTCTCTCTCCTAAAGTTGCAGTTTAGCAGCTGGGGTTGGATCCAATTTCACAAAACATGGAGATGCACGACGATCTTATGCTTTCCCTATCGAACTCAACCGCTGTTCATTTTTCTTCCCCAAGGTACAAGTTCTCTGATTTACACTGAACATAATGATGTTGCTTCATTTGATGTTGTCATTGACTTCTCTCAAAACTCTCTTTTAAAGGTGAAAACTTCACAACCCCCATCCAGCCAGCCACTAATTAAACAAGAAAAAAAAAATTATAATAATAAAAAAATTTTGACAACCACTGATTCTTGTACAATCATTTACTGATTCTCTGTAATTATTTAGGTCATTGGAAATCGAAGTATCATAATAGTGTTGAACATATATCCATATGCCATTTCACATATGAAATTAATTCATCATATCATGGATATAGTGCAACTTTGGAAACACATATTTTCTTCTTAGATCAGCAGTACTAAACAAGATCATGGATATTGATGAAGATTCTGGGATAGCTCGACATGGGATTAGAATACTCAGAAGAGTGTCCAGTGAAAAAGCAATGGCACATGGAACATGAAATTTTTTTCAGCCATGCATTTACAGAAAATATAGAAGAACTTGACTGTACTTTGGTTTCATCATCATCTGTGGCAATGATGGAATTGGAACCTAGTGGTAAGTTCAGGTTTATGAAGAGAAACAATTTTAGCCCGTACTATTCTGCTTTTTGTCATTGTTTTGGTTGGTTATTATACTCAGAAGGATTGAAATAGATTATATTTAACTGTTTTCTCAGGAATGTTAATACATTAAGGAGAAACAAAAGAGCAGTTCTACAATATTTTTATTTATTTTTTATCTCGCCTTTCTCTTTGGTATAGTTATTATGGTCGTAAAATGAACATAGCAAGAAATGAGAGCGATAAGATAGTTTTGTGTCCATACGAGTACAGATAATATTAGAAATGAGAATCTATGATAACTAAGAGACGGAAGATCATTTCTTACATAGACCTAAAGAAGCTTTCATTTACTCATAATAGTGATCCCCACTCCCTGGTTGAAAAAAGGACAAGTGGACTTTTATTAGTTCTTCGAATACATGTAGCAAAAAACTGAATATAATAAAAAAGGTTAAGTAACTTTAAATTTATGTGCTTAATTTGTATTTTGATCTTGTACCCAATTGGAAGAAGCTACCCGGCTGCATTGATCCTTGCAATATTGATGCATAATTTGGCTTATGAAATCAGTGTGCTCAATTTTACTACTGAACACTTGTAGTGACAACCTGTAATCGGGATCCAGGCCATCATTTCCATATAATAATATTAGAAAGTCTGGTTGATCTTTGTCCCTTCTGAAAGGACCTCTAAATTGACGATGTTCGACTGAAAATGTCCCGATTAAGTTAGCTGGTTGAGAAGTTAATAGACCAAATAAACACCGTGACTGTTTAGAGCCCGAGGAGCAAAAAAAAAACAGTTGACTGAAGAGAGGTATCAAATGGCTCAACTGAAAGGACATGAAGATGGTGATTGATGATTTATTTGTACGTGCCTTTTATTAGGATGCCAGTTTTTTTACCATACAAGAGTTATTTTCTTTCTGTTGGCAATTTGTATGACTTTTTCTTATCAGTCCTTTCCTTTTGATCTCTTAAGGTTTGGAGGATGTTTGGAGAAGGCTTCAATCGGTAGGGCTAACTTTTCTGGATGAACCTCTTGTCCACGAACTTTGGCCGCTCAGGAAGTCCTCTATCTACTAGTCTAAATCTACCTCATCTTCCTATGGTTCTCTTGCAATATTACATTGGAGATGCCGATCCCGATCAGAAAGCTTGCAAAGGGGCAGCAAAACTCAACGAATTTGACAGTCTATGTCACACAAAAGCTATCAATGGGATAAGTAACTCTTCGAAGTCGTCAAGGTTAGACCGATCTTAATCACCCTAATTTAATACGAATAGATCTTGAAATACCCATATATTCCTGATTCCGACCTCTTGTGCAACTTGAGAAAGAATAATATTTGATTTTCAAAGCAAATTCTCTTCAATGTCTTAAGAAGAATGAACATGGAGGTGTAGAAACCGTAGAGTCTGATCGCTTCACGTAATCTGGACTACAACCAGATCTATTCTGTGAATGGTCTCTTTCTCAGCCAAATCCTTGTTTCAGACCTTTTCATGACCTTAAGAAGCAACTGCCTCTCCCATGGTAATTAACTGGAAAAAGCAATTCAAAATGTTCATTGAATCAAAGAAACAGAATCAATGCAATCCGGTTGTGCCAATTACTGGCTGCCCTAGCAACACTCAAAGGAATCGAATTTCCACCTCTAGATCCCTATAGCAATGAGAGCTCTAGAGGATTATTTTAAATGTTGATTGAAGAGAATAGCAAAACTACAAGAAGTATCTAATGGGATACTTTTTTTTTTATTTTTCATATAAAAGTGTCACATGATTGCTTATTATCTTGGACTTGTAGAAGGTTCATCAATAGTTTATCCATATATTTGACTGGATGATTGTCATTTCTGTAGTTTTGGCCAGATCCGTTCCTCATGGTACCAAAAAGTTTCCATGGACAATGCTTAAGTTGACAGCACTTCAGAATTATGTCCCTTTTGACTGAATCACTCGACTGAAAGGACAGGAAGAAAGTGAGTGATGATTTGTTTGTGTATGTCTTGGGATGCCAGTTTTTTAACTTCACAATAGTGTATTTTCCTTTTTCTATTGGCCATCTATAGTGAGATAATAAGATGCATGGAAGTAAAGTTGACATTGACTTTAAACGTGTAAAGAGGACACGTTATTGCCTTATTGGAACATAAACATTGAGTAGATGTAAGGCTGCGTTGAAAATTAAGAAGACCTCTTCTATATGCTTTAGAAAAGTTTCATCCATTTGGTGGAAAATCTGTTGATAGCCATTGTATCAATCATTTGATGGTACTTAAGGGTTTCAGAATGGAAGCAATTAACTAAAAAAGAGAGTTGCGTCAAATTTTTGTATTCATAATTAAGCAAATTGGTTGAAAGAAAATTGACGAGGAAAACTACTATTTAGCTTTGATAATAAATCGTGTTTCATTACCCAAGTAGTTACTGTAACAAGTTTCCCTCAACTGATGCATGTTGGTCTCAAGACTCAACATTACTTATTTGTGCCAATACAAAATATTATGGGTCAACTTTTTATTGCCTAATAGTCTCTTTTATTCATTCTTGTTTGGTGAAGAATTCGAAGTCATTCCATATGCCATGTTTTGAAATCGACAGAGGATGTCAAGGCAACCCGCCCCACAAAACACTACATTAGTTGTGAACTTCCTGTGGTCATTTTGTTTGATTGATGAAAATTATAGTTGGGTGGAGTAGAGTTGTTTAGCAGCTGGGGTTGTATCGCATTTCACAGAACTTCAATATTCCATGGACTTGAAGGTTTGGAGATGCGTGATGAATTTACGATTTCTCTACCAAACTCAGCTGTGGGTAGTCTTTCTTCCACTAGGTACAAGGTATCCGATTGACACTGACTTAGAAGATGTTGCTCAATTTGATATTGTCATTACCTTCTCACAAGAGTCTCTTGTAAAGGTGAACCTTTGTTAGAATTTAAAACTTAAACTTTATGAATATTTTGTCTTTATTGTCAAGATTTTCCGTGTCAAATCACCAAGAGAATTAAAAGTGCAAAACATACTTTGATCCATTGTATTGAATATTGAAAATGTAATTGCAATATCTTGATTTGGCTTCTTAATCTTTAATCTTGTTTCCTTGGTTGCTTGTTCTTGATTTTTGATTGTGGGTTTTTGATATTTCTCTTCAATACGCTTTCTCTTGTTATTCTTCTGTTGATGGGATGACAAAGAATCAGAAGTTACGTATGAATTGAGAATCATAAACCTGTATATATTTTCCTATGTATTTTGACCTATCATGAAATACAGCCTAAAGAGATTTGGTCTATCCACATATTTAGGTCCATATCATATTTAGATGTCGAAAATCCATAACTTTAATTCTTTATTAAATCACTTTAAATGATTTAACCTTATGATTACTTTTAATACACAATTTATTACATATGTAGGCTCACATGACAAGTTAAAACCTAACAATCTCCAACTTGGAGTACATATGTTACATTATATATATGCATAATCTTGTGATATCAAAATTTTTGCTATCATAACCACAAGCATCTCCGATATAACACATATAGAAAGTATAACAACTACAAATTTAAATATTCCTTTAAATAAAGAAATAGTTGTTTAAAATTATTATTTTTATCATCAAATCTTTAACTATATTTTGTTATCGAGTACTTATATATGAGTATCGGTGCTTAGTTTATATTAAGCACTCGGGGGGACGTGTCACACTACAATAGATGGTGAGATATAATAGTTGATTACAAAATTAATTACATCACTTATTCTATTATGTGACGTCACAGTGCTTAGATTAAGCTAAGCAACATTACTTAGGAGATCAATTCCCTATTGGGTTAATTTCACAAATGGTCACTGAAGTTACGTCAAAATAACAAAACGGTCACTAAAGTTCCAAAGTTGCACCAATGGTCACTGAAGTATCACCCGGTTTCAAGAATGGTCACTGAAGGACCAAATGAGTTGAAGCGTGAAAGATAAGGACCTACGTCGCAAATTTGACAAAAGCCTTCCTCTCCAAGTTTTTCCGGCGATTTTGCACCCAAATTC